CTGTGTTGGAAGGAAGGGCATCACCCTTGGAATGGAAGGATGGACAGGAGCGGTAGCCAATTCATCCACAGCTGTGCAGCTGGAAATTGAGAGAATTATTGTCCAATGCGCTCTATTTTCTTTGTGAAGCAGGTGGTAGGGGTTTAATGCTGCGAGCAGAAACTGCTTTACCTTTAAATAATATAATCTGCTTTCTTCTGTGAAGTTAGAATACAGATTTTTATAGCTAGCATAAAAATTTTGATAATCTAATTACAATTTTAAAAATCAAAGCCACTTGCTAGCAAGTTGATAGTTTGTCATAGTAGACTGCTTTCCTGAAACGACTGTATTTTTGTGACTGCTGTGGTGTAGAATTTCATGAACTGTCTCAGCACCTGACTTTGAATCCAGTGACTTCTGTGAGAACTCAAGTGGAGAAATTTGGGAGCATTTGATTTGCAGAGTGGCTGTGAGTTGCTTGTCCTTTTACCTCTTCAGTTTGAAAGCACTGGTGATCACTCTTTGAGCTGCTTTTTGTAGTTTCATATTAGCTTTGAATGTGTCGTCTTTTGAAGTTGTTGTACTGAGTAGCCAGGTGAGTTAGACAGGCAAGGTGGTGAATTATGATAAAGAAGCAAAGGTCGAGCAATGAAAGAAGGATGTGGAAACAGAGCCTTTTAGTATTAGGGAAGAAATAAAACGCCTTTGTAAAAAATGGGCGGGGATCCTCCTGAAGAGGACTTTATGGAGAACTTTTAAGTTTGTAGCTTAGGGAAATGGTAATCAGAATCAGAATGGGGCTACATTGTTTTAATTAACCAGGAAGTACCTCAATATATATTGTATAGTAAAATATGATTTTGCAGATGAAAGAGTAGCTATGATGTGTTAATTATTCAATAAATATTTGTGCTGAGGAATTAATACTGTAATAGATGAAACTGAATCCCAAAGAGTTAAAAGATTTTCCTAGGCTGGTTTTGTTAGAAGGATTAGAAACTATATTTGGCTAATGCCTAGGTCAATCATCTTTCCATTAAATTGGAAATTGTTTCAAAGGTAATTATGAAGGAAAATAAAAATTATAAATTGAGAATGAGCCAGTGCAGTAAACCACAAAAGAAACAACTGTATTATCAAGAGTTTATAATGCAGTACTAATGAATTAGCTAGAAACATCCACACTGAGTCCTTAGAGCCGTGAATGCTTGGACTCCTGATGTTTCACTCTTGCCCATCTCACTGGTTAAACTAAGAATTGGGGTCCACTTTGTAGAGCAAGGCATAGACTACCTTCATTCTCCTCACATGGTTTCACAGTTGTAGAATCTGACTGCAATGGATATGATTTTTCTCATAACAGCTAAAATATTTAATGTTAAATGTTGAATTTATATCCAGATGACTGACTTTTCAAATAACTTCTTCCCAAGATTTCACTCTTATAAAAATTTATATTACCGGGAATTAGCTCCTTAATAATTGTTGATGAAACGTGGCATAAATTTTGATATACCATTAAAAATAGTTCTGTTACACAAACATCTATACCTCTGTCCCACAAAAGACTTTATTGTAGTAAATTCCATTTGTGTAAGTCATACTCTGTAACATATTCTTGACTCAGAAGGAGGAGGAAGTTGATCTTTTCCATAGACTCACTATTGCACAATCAAAACTGTTTTTGCCTATCTCATTATTTTAAGCCTGAATTACATTTCTTATTCTTTTAAACCTCTATCCAACTGAATAATTCTTTCATAGACATTGTGTAACTATTGCTACAATCAAGATAATATATTAAACACTTCCAGAAGTTTTTTTCTAACTTTTTATAACCTGTTTCTCCCACCCTTCCCAGAAGCTATTTCCATACAGACATCTGAAGTAGAGCAAAGATATATTATCACTATATATTATTTTGTATTTTTAAAAATTTATTTTTAGAAAGGGAACAAATTTCATTTATTTCATGTATACAGTTTTTTGTTTTTTTTTTTTTTGACAGGCAAAGTTAATGAGAGAGAGAGAGAGAAAGGTCTTCCTTCCGTTGGTTCACCCCCCAAATGGCTGCTACTGCTGGCGTGATGCAGCCAGCATGATGCACCGATCCGAAGCCAGGAGCCAGGTGCTTCCTCTTGGTCTCCCATGGGGTGCAGGGCCCAAGCACTTGGGCCATCCTCCACTGCACTCCCTGGCCACAGCAGAGAGCTGGACTGGAAGAGGAGCAACCGGGACAGAATCCGGTGCCCCAACCGGGACTAGAACCCCAGGGTGCTGGTGCCGCAGGCAGAGGATTAGCCTAGTGAGCTGCGGTGCCGGCCTCATGTATACAGTTTTAAAAGCATATTGATACTTCCCACCCTTCCTCCCTCCTTCTGTTGCTCCCATTCTTAGTCTCCTTCCTTTGTTACTTTTCTTTTGATATTTGTGATGACATACTTTCAATTTACCTTATAATCACAGCCTTAACCCTCCACTAAATAAAGGATTAAATATGTAGTTAATCAAAAAGCCACTGTTCTTCAAGAGTATAGATAAGGGCTGTAAATAATAACCAAATCCCAATGTCAATTTTGCTCATATACATTATAATTTTTGTGTATTCTGTATATTGGTTACCACAAATCAAGAAAAACATGTGGTATTTGTCTTTTTGGTAAGTGTCTCATTTAACTAAGCATAATTATCTCCAATTGCATGCATTTTATTGTGAAAGACAGGATTTCATTCTTATGTCTGAGTAGTATCCATAGTGTATATGTACCACAGTTTCTCCATCTAGTCATCAGTTTATGGGTATCTGAGCTCATTCCATATCTTAGCTATCTGGGGGGAGTTGAACTTTTATAACATGGGAAAATAAATAACATTCATATGCCGATTTCATTCCCTTTAGGTAAATTCCTAGGAGTAGAACAACTAGGTTATTTGTAGATCTAATTTCAGATGTAAGGAATCTCCATACTGTCTTCCATAATGGCTGTACTAATCTGCATCCCCTCCAACAGTGGATTGGGTTAACTTTTTTTCACACGTCATTTCCAGCACTTGTTAATTTCTGATTTTTGAATGCCAGTCATTCTAACTGGGATGAGGTGAAACTTCCTTGTGGTTTTTATTTGCATTTCCCTGATGGCTAGTGATCCCAAGCATCTTTTCATTCATCTGTAGGACATTTGAATTTCATCCCTTTAAAAATGCTAGTTAATATCCTTAGCCCATTTCTTAACTGGATTGTTTGTGTTGTTGAGTTTATTGAGCTCCTTCTATGTCCTGGATATTAATCCTTTATCAGATGTGTAGTCTGTAAATATTTTCTCTCATCCTGTCAGTTGCCTTTTTGTTGAGTGTATCCTTAACTGTGCAGAAGCTTCTTAGTTTGATGTAATCCCATTTGTCTATTTTTGCCTTTATTGCTGGTGCTTCTTGGGTCATTTATAAGAAGTTGTTGTCTCTACCAGTGTCTTGTAAAGTTTCTCAGATGTTTTCCTTTAGTAATTATTTCAGGCCTGATCAATTGTATATGTTGATCTTCCAGGCTAGATATCAGGTGCAATGGTATCATTTCCAAAGTTTCCTAGGGAGTTAGCAGTGCATATCCAACCCTTGAATTTTCTGGTCCATGAAACTCTTTCCATCAGTGTTTTAGATCTGTAGACTCAATGTTAGTCAGATCCAACCTGTTAAGACACACCTATTGATAACCTGTAATCAGTCATATAGAATCATCAGAGGGTCTAGTGGCTAGATGGCTGGATTAAAAGGTGGTACTGTTTTATAGTAACATTTCAGTTACTGATTAATATGGCTTAGGATCTCACACATAGTGGAATTGAGCCAATAATCTCCCTTTTGCTTCAGAATTGGCAGTACACAGTAAGTTATATGCACTGTAGTGGATTACTTAAAAATGAAGTACTCGGGCTGATGCCATGGCTCACTAGGCTAATCCTCCACCTGCGGTGCTGGCACCCCAAGTTTTAGTCCCGGTTAGGGTGCCAGATTCTGTCCCAGTTGTTGTGCTTCCAGTCCAGCTCTCTGTTGTGGCCCGGGAAGGCAGTGGAGGATGACCCAAGTGCTTGGGCCCTTCACCCGCATGGGAAGCACCTGGCTTCTGGCTTCAGATCGGTGCAGCACGCCGGCCATAGCAGCCATCTGGGGGGTAAACCAACGGAAGGAAGACCTTTCTGTCTCTAACTCTGCCTGTCAAAAAAATAAATAAAAATGAAGTACTCTATTTCCTGCAGTACATCAAAAGCATTTATTCTCAGATATATCAGCCTGCCTTAGGTGGAAATGTTCAGATCGTATACCATCATTTTATTTTTTTGTCCAAATTTTGGGTAATTACTCCTAGATTAAACCTGACACTTCTTGGGTAACAAGAGATCAGAGAAGGGCCAGTTGTATGGCATAGAGAGTAAAGAAACCTCCCGGGAAGCCTTCATCCCATATGGGTGCTAGTTTGAATCCCGACTGTTCCCAGTTCTGATCCGACTCTCTTGCTAATGGCCTGCAAAAGCAGTAGAAGATGGCCCAAGTGCTTGGGCCCCTGCTACCCATGTGGGGGACCTGGAGGAAACTCCTGGCCTCTGGCCTCAGTCTGGCTCAGTCCCAGCTGTTGTGGCCTTTTGTGGAGTGAACCAACACCTAGAATATCTCTCCCTCTCTGTCTGTAACTGACTTTCATATAAATAAAATCTTAAAAGAGAGCAAAGAACTTTCTGTGGATGCTATAGGTGCTCTCATTATGTGGGAGAACATCAAGTATCCTATTTAGTTAACATCTCTTTTGAAAAGGGGCACTCTCTAGATAGAGCAGAGTCTTTTGTGATGGTTACTATCAAGCAATCACACATAAGAACAAATTCTGTATAACCTTTTGGCTTTAAATAATTTGGTTTGGGGTTGACATAAGTGACTCCATCTTGACTTCTTTATGCCCTCCTTGCAATCGGGTTTCATTTCCAAAATCACAGCTGATCAATCATTTTCCATTTGTGTCTCATTCGCAGGTTGGATTTGACCTGGTTGTTGATCCGGTCCCAAATCTGGAGGAAAATAGCTTATGACAAGGAACCAGTGTCAAAAAACTCCTTGAAGCCACATTTTAGCAACAAAAAGGCTTTAGAAGGAATGGTCCTTATGCTAACTTCACCTGGAGTTTATTGTCAAACTTAGGTTTATCTGTTCTGCAGGCATGGATCATCATCTTAAAGTGTGAGGCCAGCGTTATCTTAATAAGAGTTGGACTTCTGTAAAATTCTGATAGGCAATAGGCACAAAGCCAAATAGAAAAATTATAAATCCAACAAAAACATAAATCAAGTTTTCATCTTAAAGGAACAGGATTATAGCATAATAGAAATATTGTTGACTATTCATGGAAGTACAACATGGAAGATTGACTAACCATATAGAAATCGGCTCCAGAAAACTATCAAGGTTAACAAGCCTAAAAACTATGAACAGATTTACAGTCTAAAAACAGTTTTACTATACTTGGTTGATTGTCTATTTGCTTTAAGTACACATGATAATCTTCAGTTTATAAACTCTCAAAGTTAAAAAATCAATCCAAGGTAGAATTAGACCTTTTTTTTTAACCATAGTACCTAATATTTTGAAATTTTAGGTCCTAATAAAAAATTATATCTCCTTTCACTTCCTACAAGGCTAGGAACTTGTGAAGGCAGGTATTCTGTTAATTTTATATATGCTAATGTTTTCAATTCTAACCTGTTATGGCAAGAACAGGTTCTAGCTGATCTCACATTGCCATAAGGAAAGCAAAAATCTCCAGAAAAGTTTTTGAAATTTAGAGTAGTTAGGGGAAAACGTGAACACTATCATCCATCTACAAAACTATCCCAAAGCACTGAAAATGATAGAAATCGCAGGAAACATTGTCCAGAACCTAGAAAGCATTCAAATACAGAACCAGCAATGTTTTAAATAAAAAATAGAAATACAAAAATTTCATTCAATCTCATGTAACTTTTGTCCATTAGCAGCCTTATGAATTTCATAGTTCTTTTTTTTTCTCAAAGTTCTGGAACTTCTCATCTACTCCATTGACCTTAAAGCAGTCAGAAGCCCCTATTTAATTACATTTGTTGAAAGTCTTCTCTAAATCTGATTGCAAGTGTTTTCAGAGAAGAGTGTACAAAACTGTGGAAGACACAATATTTTAAATAGACTGGTTAAAATTATAGAACTCATTAATTGATAAGAGTCATCCATATTCATTTCATAGAAAGCACCTGAAAGACTTTACAAGCATTTGTCATTTTTAAACCCTGGACCTCCTTTTTATCGAGATAACCATCATGACTGATAACACAACAGGATCATCAAACTTTTCTAACTTTTTTATAATTTCTAGGACATTTGATTCTATTTTCTTTAACAAAGTTTAATATCAGTTCACATCTTGACAACACGTTCGATATACTCCAAATTTCCAAATTATTACCTCTACAAGATGAGAGATACAGCATTTGACATTTGCAGGCGGCAAAATGTGTGTTTCCTTGATCATTCACCAAAAAGGAAAATAAAAACCTGAATAAAAGAATTAGCACATAAAATCATCTCATAACTTGAAATAATTTAATAGAATCAGAACTAGGGAAGGGGAGAGAGCTTACAGGAGCGCTCTAGAAAACTGAGTCATCAACTAAAACTTTTAAAAGAGATGCAACATTTTTTTTAAGTAGATTTTAAAATTAGAGATCAACATTATCCAGATATTTATTGATATATCAAGATATATACATTTTCAAAAGCATTGTTTTAACAGAGGACCAGATTCTAACTCTATGTCAGTGTACCTTTGGTATTAATGCTAATTTTTTTTAGAAAAACCTGTAAACAATTTAAGAATTATGGTCCATTTTATCACACACAGATATCTTTACAAGATTTATTCCTCTCAAACCTTCTGTGACTTCATCACACCTTCTGCACTTGACTTCAATCTTTAGGTATTTTGTCCTACCATTCCTTTCCTAGAGTAATCCAATCATTCTCCTTATGACACGGTTTTTCTTTTTTTATAAGCAATGTTCGTTCTTATCCACAAAGTTCTTTCTTTCATAACCTTCTTTACCAAGAACATATTTTCATGCTTGTGACTTTTTAAGTTTTTCCCATCTGATCTCCTTGACTTTTCACTGTGAAATAATCCTTTAAAAATCTCCATATTAAGACAACATTTTGTAAGTGAAGGAACATATCAAATTTCAGCCTTAGTTACTTTTAAGCAGTCTTGAATTATTTGTCATATATGGACAATTTGTGAAAACGTATCTGCTAACAAACCCAAATAGTCTTTTAGCATCTTAAATTCAATGAAAAGAATTACTTAACACTTAGAAATATTTATCTACTTGTACCCAATTTATACTTAGCAACTATACCTAGATGACTTAAACAGACATTAGACAAGCATAGCTACCACTTTAAATGATTTTCTTGTCACACAAAACTCTTAAAGGCTAATGCATTCAGAATACTATCATTTCCTGACCAACAAACACAGGCACAAGTGTATCCGAATGATTTTGAAAATCTTTATACTTTTTTCTTTAACATTTATTTGAGAGGTAGAGTTAGAGGGAGAGACAGAAATATCTTCCATTGGCTGGTTTACTCCTCAAATGGCCACAATGGCCAGAGTTTTACCAATCTGAAGCCAGGAGCCTCTTTCAGATCTCTCACATGGATGCAAGTGCCCAAGCATTTGGGGCATCTTCCACTGCATATATGTTCACATTCTTTCAAAATGATGACTTTCTCTGTTTCTGTGTATAGAACATCCTTATGTATCATTTCTAAGGCTGGACAAGTAATCACAAATTCTTTCCATTTGTTTTAATTTATAAATTATAGATTTTCTGGATACGTATTCTGGGTTGACAGTTTATTGTGTACCCATGAAATTTAATTTATTAAAAGCTTTCTTTAAAAAAAGGACTTGGACATTATTAGTCCATTATCTGCCAGCCTATCATGTTTCTTTTGAAAAAACAGCTGTCAGTCTGATCTGAGACCCTTTGAAGGTAATCTGGTATTTCTTTCATGCACATGTTAGAATCTTTTTGTTTCACTGTTGAAAGTTTGACTATAATGTGTCTACTAGGAGTTCTTATGTGCTTCCTGTTCTTGGATGTCTCAACCTTTTCCAACTTCAGGAAGTTTCCAGCTGTTATTTCAATGAACACATCTTGTAAATCTTTCCACAGCTTCAGGAACTCTTTAAGACATGTATGTTAAGCCATTTAATAGTACCCCATTTATCAGTTTTTCTAATTTTGGGGATCTGAGATATTTCCAAAGATTTTTTTCTTCTAGCTCAAATATTCTTTCTTCTGCCTCAACAAGACTGTTAAGAATTTCTACTGTGTTTTTTTACATATTGAATTCTTCTATTTCAGTTTAATTTCTCTTCAATATCTGTCTCCCTGCAAATTTTTTATTCATGTCATATATGTATTTCTTTGACTCATGAATTTGCTTCTCATTGTTTTTGAGTAATTTTATGATCATTCATTTGAATTCCTTTTCAGGAATTCCATCAATCTCTCTATCTTACCATTCTAATATTGAAGTGTTCCTTTTGAGGTGTCATAATGTCTTCCTGTTCATATTTTTTGTATATTTAGGCATTTGTACTTTTAGGTATTTGTCAAAGCACTTGTTGGTTTTCTACTCTGATGGCTTTTAGCTGAAGTAAGCCTCTGGGTATCCAGTGTCGTAGCATAGCAGGTTAAGCCTCTGCCTGCCATGCCAGCAGTTCATTTGGGTGCCAGTTTATACCTGGTTGCCTGACTTATGCCCCAGCTTTCAGCAATATGCTTAGGAAGGCAGCAGAAAATTGTGTGAGTGCTTGGGCCCTCAACCTACATGGGAGGCCTTGAAGAAGCTCTAGGTTCCTGGCTCCAGCCCAGCCCAGCCCCCAACTGTTGCAGCCATCTGGGGAGTGAAACAGGGGATAGAAGATATCTCGCTCTCGCTCTCTCACACACACACACACATATACTCTTCTGTCTTCTTCCTCCTTTCTCTGTAACTCTGCCTTTCAAATAAGTAAAAAATAAATCTTTAATTGAAAGGCGAGACATGACCAGGATGTTGGAGCGGAAATATGCCTCTCTGGCTTAGTGAAATGTCTGCTCCTTCAGTGGATATCTGGACGCATGTGTTGGGTGAGGGCAAAGAGCTCTGGGCAGTGTTCAAGAGTGAGTCCAGGGAGATGCCCAAGATGGGTGTGCTAGATGTCTTATGTTGTCAGCAGGGGTAAGGGTATGATCACATATGCTGGTGTGATCAGTCTCGCCTCCTTTCTCCCAAGGGGATCAGTGCCCAGGGTGAGCCCACAGCGGCTAAACACATCACCCAGGCTGGCACATGAGCTACACAGAGGATCTGCGCAGTCCTCAGTATGAGCACAGAATCCTCTGCAGTGACCCACATCCGGCACTTACGGAACTCTGAGCCTCAGAAGCCAGCCAGAGTGATTTCCTAGAGACCCAGCTACACCCCATGCCATATTACACAGACACCGAATTTCCACTTAGTGCACAGGACTCCCATAATCATAGGGAGCCAGAAATCTACTCTCATAATCTTTTATAACATCAAATGTTAAGAAAATTACTTTGGGCTGGTGCCGCGGCTCACTTGGCTAATCCTTCGCCTGTGGCGCTGGCACTCCTGGTTCTAGTCCCGGTTGCCCATCTTCCAGTCCAGCTCTCTTCTGTGGCCCGGGAAGGCAGTGGAGGATGGCCCAAGTCCTTGGGCCCTGCACCCACATGGGAGACCAGGAGGAAGCTTCTGGCTTTGGATTGGTGCAGTCGTGGCAGCCATTTGAGGAGTGAACCAATGGAAGGAAGACCTTTCTCTCTCTCTCTCTCTCTCTCTCTCTCTCTCTAATTCTGCCTGTCAAAAAAAAAAAAAAAAAACTTCTTTGAGCTGTAGCTTATTCAATATTATTTATAAATTACAAATTTATGAAAAGGTGGCAAAGGTTCTTTAGAGAATGATCTTACATTCTCTTGTAAAATATTGACCCAAGACCAACTTTTAATTTTTAAAAAAATTTAGTTGACAGAGTTAGCAGAGAGAAATTGACAGGCAGGTAGATTTCCCATCTGCTGAATTCTCATCTGCTATATGCGGGCAATAGTCAGAGCTAGAACAGGTGGAAACCAGGAGACAGAATCTCAAGCTAGGTGTCCTATGTTGATTTCAGAGACCCAAGCACTTAAAATCACCTGGTACCTCTCTGGGCACCAGATTCCACATTATAGGAGCCTGGAACTGGGAATCAAGTCAGGGCTTGAACCCAGAGACTCTAAGATAGGGTTCAGAAATCCCAAGCAGCATCTGCACTGCTGTATCAAATGTCTATCCTGGATAAAATAGTCGAGCAACTGAATGTATCTAATGTGTGAGGAAGATGAGAAGGAGATATTTAAAAAATGGTGAAATATACTTTGATATATTCTGATTTGTTGCAGTGGCGATGTTTAACAGAGGTGATGTGGAACTAAAAGATTAAGAATTAACAATCTCTACAGCAAGATCTTAATAAATCTAATGCTTAAGCTTATTTTAAAATTTGTAACACAAGTCACTGTTAGGTAAATTAATGTAGAGAGTTTTGTAATTTATAAATTGGAGGCAACTTTCTTAGATTCTAGCTAGTAATGCAGAGAGGAGCCACATTGGTTCAGGAGAGCCAGTGGGGCCTCTTTCCAATTTCCTGTTCAGTGATACCAATTTGGGAATGTTAATATTATGAAAATTAACAGACTACAAAGTAACTTCTTTTTCAAAAAAATCCTGAGAGGTGGTTGTAAAACTTTCACTAGCATTATATTGGTTTTAATCCTGAGAAAGCAAGTACTCCAAATCCATACTCATTTCTGTTGGGAAGGAATGACACTTGAATAGCATTTTGAAGTAGAAACAAAAATTCTTGTCGATGGAAGAGCACACAGGGTACCACGCAAGGGTATAAATGAAGTCAAGTCATTTCAGAGAAGCAAGGTAGTTTCTCACAAAACTTTAGGATTTGTGCTCAATTTTTTTTTTATTTGAAAGAATTACAGAGAGAGGTAGAGATAGAGATGTCTTCCATCCACTGGTTCACTCCCCAGATGGCTGCAACTGCCGGAGCTGCCCCAATCCAGAGCCAGGAGCTTCCTCCAGGTCTCCCACGTGGGTGCAGGGGCCCAAGGACTTGGGCCATCTTCCACTGCTTTCCCAGGCCATAGCAGAGAGCTGGATTGGAAGAGGAGCAGCCGGGACTAGAACTGGCGCCCATATGGGATGCCGGCACTTCAGGCCAGGGCGTTAAACCGCTGTGCCACCGCGCCGGCCCCTCAACTGTTCTTAAATATTGAGTCTGGAAGTTGCAGTAGTGAGATGGTCAATAGCCAACTCATCAAGTGCTTTGTACGCCATCCCAAGAACATGGATTTTATGATATGGAATTGTAAGCTTTTAAGCTAACATAGCAGCAAACGATTTGAATTTTAGGAATACTTTTCTATAAACAGCACAAAGAATTGGGCTGCACTGAGGGAAGAAAGACTAACATGCAGATTATTGGATACATCCAGGGAATTGATAATATAACAGTATATGAGAATATGTTGTGAATTGCTCTAAGTTCTTCAGTTTTACTCTAATCTTACTCAAGCTGATTAAATATAAATTCTGTTATATTTTATACTTTCAAATTTCTACTGCAAGTTCTAAACTGAATATTCAATAAGTATTCTTACTACTTACACATGTTATTTACATGTAAAACATATAAAACAAACATGCCCCCTCTATCTATCCTTAAATATTTGTCAGCTCTTTGAATTCATGTTGGTAAAGTTTGGAAAGCCATTTCCATATATGAGTTTCCTTTAGTGTCTTTTAAAGTAGCTAGGAGTGAGTCATTTTCATTTCTAGCTAGAGAACAAGAAATAAACCACAAGATTGTTAATTAGCCAAATCACCCTTCTTCTAAAAACAGAAGAAAAAGAAAAACTTACAAGCCAATTAAAAAAAGAATCACTGAGCTGTACACTGGCAGACTGTGGCAGTTGGGACCTTGGTTTGGGTTGACAGGAGATACATTTTGCAGTTCTGTCATAGCATTTCAATGGCACACAGTCCTTGTTAAGAATATGCAGTATGTAGTCAAATCCAAGCCTGTGGAATTGCACATGCTACTATGTCAATTTAGAAAAAAAAAATTGCTTACTTGCCATGTAGATTTTTTCCAAAGGAGATTTTAGAAATTTCTGTTCCTAAATATCTTCATATAATGACACTGCATCTGGTTTAAATAATTGGGTAAGTAAAGTTAATAAAAGTACAGAAAAGGAGAATATCACACTCTGATTTATTTGAAATTGCATATTTCTCCATGGTGACAACCTCACGTTTGTCTTACAAATCACCTGTGTCTTAACTGGGAATGTAGACACATTTTATAATTCTTAAAGCATCTTTAGATATAGACAAATTTATATTATTTGTTTTTTTTTTTTGCCTTTTTGTCTTGATTTATTTTTTTTTAAACTTTTATTTAATGCATATAATTTTCCAAAGTACGACTTATGGATTACAATGGCTTCCCCCCCATACCGTCCCTCCCACCCACAACCCTCCCCTTTCCCACTCCCTCTCCATTATTAATGGTAATATATTGCAACCTGGTACTGTGCCATGGGTACACAGAAACTCTGTATACATTTTTGTTAGAACATAGAGAAGTGGGTGAGTTTTATCAAAGTGAATGATTAGTTCTCTGAAGTTATGCTGAAGATTTACATTTGTATAGCTTTTCTTTTTAACTACTTGAATTCTGGATTTTGCCCTGACCAACATGACTCTCTTGATAATAGTAAAATAACTTTGCAAAAAAATTATTTGAAAAGGAGAGAGGAGGAGGGAAAGGGGGAGGGGGGGTCTTCTATTAGCTAATTAATTCCCTGAATATCCTCAGTAGTCCAGGATGAGATTGGCAGAAGTCAGGAGCCTGTAATTCAGTTGGGTCTCCCATGTAGGTTGCATGGGCCCTAATACACAGCCCATCTCGCACCACTTTCCCAGGTCCATT